CCCCCCCCCCCCCCCCCCCCACCGGATCTTCGATTTTGCCGCAGCCAGATCACTAATGGTGTATTGTTCTTCTGACAGCTTGCCTGGAAGCGTGCATGCAAAAGACACAAAAGAACAGATTATTAACCGATTACATGACGTCACCGATTTAACACTATCTGGCAAAAAAATATCCGCAAATCTGAGGTGACACGCGCAGAGATTTGCTTTCCGTTTAGCTGGAGCGAGCTGTTTGGCAGTGATTTAAGATTACTGTACTCAACAGAGAACCAACGATGCCTCGATCTTTCTTGATCAAGAAGAGGCAAGAGAAATCTACCAAAGACGCTTTTTATGAGGCGAAGCCGAAAGGTACGATCTAGTTTCATTTTGTGCACTTGTCATTGACTATAAATGCCAGCGCCCGATCATTCCATGTAGGTAACAAGTGTAATCATGCCAAAAAAAAACTCTGTTCGCTTTTCTTCACGTTTTCCGTTGAAACTTTCAGAAAAATTCATTTCTTACACATCTCAATTTAAAATGAGATAGTTCTGCCCCGCTTTTGCTGCTTCAAAATGAAACTGTAAGCGCTCAACAACTTCACAGTTTTCCGGTATTGCGATATTATTTGACAGTAAAAGCACATGGTTAACTCGCGATCTTGCTTTAAAACCATCAGGTCGCCTACTTGACCTCCGAGGTGAAACTATCACTGATTCCGTGCAAAGTCAAGAAAATTCGACAGTGCGGAGTTGGAACGGTTTCAGAACGTCACTGATTTATCCAGCAGAAATAACATCGTATAATTTCCAACCTCGCGTACGGCCGTTGCAGTGTGCACCGAACCTGAACCAAGATGAAAGGTTGTTGTTGACACACGAAGAAATACCCGGAGATTCCAGTGGGAAAAAAGTGATGGAAGAAAATCAACAGTCAACAGATTTCCCGAAGAATTCGCGCGCGGTTAAAAAGCACACGTGCGATGAATGCCAAAGAAGTTTCGCGACAGTTGCGTCGTTCCGCAAGCACCATCACCGTCGAAAGGAGTTTGCATGCAAACACTGCGACAAGACGTATGTTTCCCTCGGAGCGCTTAAGATGCACATACGTACGCACACTCTGCCGTGTAAGTGTACAGTTTGTGGGAAAGCTTTCAGCCGTCCGTGGTTATTACAAGGCCACATTCGCACGCACACGGGGGAAAAGCCTTATCAGTGCCCTAAATGTCAACGCGCGTTTGCCGATCGTTCAAATCTGCGAGCGCATTTACAAACGCACTCTGCAGTAAAGAAATACTGCTGTTCAAAATGTACGCGTTCATTCTCTCGCATGTCTCTTCTTCACAAACATCAATACACTTGTGGTGGTGATCAATGAAGAAGACTAACGTTTCGCGATTCTATTTCACTGTTCTGATCGAATGGAAAAATCAGTGCAGCAAGACTGTCATTGAAAAAAGTTGTTAAGGTTGAACAAGTGCTCGATTTCTATTTAAGACATAATTTGTGGCCCTTAAGTGTAATACGTAATTTCCTTTTTTTCTTTGGTCGCATAAAACGAACGTAAAAAAAAGCTTGAGACGAGATTTCTCGCAGTTTACGTTTTAAATAACATTTTTGACACCTTGTGATTGAGTGGTTATGTAACGCATTTTTTTTAGACAGTTTTTAGCTTGTTGGGCTACTTTATTTATCTGTTCTTAGATTCCTCGAAAGACGTGGACCTTGTTATTTAATTTTCTTAGATCGCGGGAAAGTTGGCCGTACATTGACAAACGAAGAAAAAACACTTTTGATGATCTTAAATTCTTTGTCTCGGGTAATTATGAAAAAGAGCATTATTTAGGTCAATTACAAGTATTAATAAAATAACGTGACAATAAATAGGTGCCAAATCACAGCTAAAAATAAATAATGAAAAAAAAAACGAAGAGTCAAAAGAGGCTTTGACAAGTAGCTAGACTGCTTTATCCTGTTAATTCAGTTTAGCAAGGGGTATAAACAATGTTCTAGATTGTCTAGATTTGACTCAGATGGTTCCGTTTTATTGACCCCAATTGCCTCTGTGGATAAAATACTTTAAAATGTTGGCAAGAAAGGTAACAGCTGAGCTGTCGGTCTCCTTTGTGTACAGTAAAGGAAACTTCGTTCGCTTCGAATGCACGAAAACGAGTGAAACGAGTGACTTCGCTTCATCAAGGAAATTGTCAGCACGTTATAGTCGTCAAATTTGTTTGCGAATTCTTGAACGGGCTGGGTTAAATTTGGTTGTGAAACGGCGTCTATGAAAAGCAAGTTGATCTAAGACAAACATCCGATTCCTAGCAAAAAACAGCGCAAGGAACACCTGTTGGCTTGCCCTGATACTGCATCAGGGTATGGGGTATAAAAAGCGCAGATTAAAATTGGCTTATAAAACAAGTTCACACGGAAATCAAAACATTCATAAAAGAACATTAAGCCAAAGAAAACATACGACGTGTTACTGAACAGTCGTAAAACTTCAGATTTCCCATTTCAAGGTATTTTACTGAATAACTCATTCCGTGTGTTGGATTTAAGTTGGACAGAGGCCAACTTGAATTGCACTACAAACGTGCGGCACGTACGCACTTTTGATTAATTTGCCACTTCAAAGTGCAATTCGAGATAATACTCGGTTGTTATTAATACCTACTTAATAGGAAGGATTGGGTCACAAACCGCACAAAAAGGAAGTTTTGACCTAAGAATTTCAGAAGGTTTTACCGTTTCCTGCACTTAGCAATCGCCAGACGAAGTTAACTTTTGTCAGTTCTGTGGATGAAATCTTTCAGCGTGACTTTTAAATTTATTCTCAACGATACTGTTCAATGTGCTTCACGGCTAAACAGCGACAATCCACCCTTCCCTCTCAACTGCTACCTGTACGCCTAACAACCATATCGAACGCACTCTTCCGAAGCTCCGATTACTCCTTTGTAAAACAGTAATCTGTCTGCAAGTGCACTCTAATCGGCGCGATAAAATTTCCTATACCTAGACATACATAGAGTGACTCATGCCTTCTAAAATTATTCAAAGGTTTAAAGTTTTCTGATGACTCTTTCGGCCACTTATATCAAGACCGAAAATTTAAGGGGACCTTTCTGACTAACAAAAACCTGCACATTAAAGGTCAATGTATTTAGCTAGAATTTACTAATTGAATATACTACGTCTTGCGTCTTCGACTGAGTACAGGAACGCCATTTTACGAGGTCATCCGTGGTCAGCCGTTCTTTGTCTACTTTCATTTCTCAGTTATTTTAAGATCCCAAGTATTGGCCCGGTCGGTCCGGTCCCGGGGTTTAAGCCCGCGACTTCTACTCAAGCGCTCTACCTTAGCTAGTCCTGTCAAATCAGGACAGTAAAATGTAAAAAAACTCACCTTTCCAAAGTCACAAAAAAAAGATCCGAACATCGCACATGCATGGAACAATCAACTAGAATTTTCTCACCTTTATTAAGCTTTGTCTACACTATTTAACCTGGAAAGCTTAATATGTCGACACGAAAAAGACTTCGGCTTGGCATGAACAACACCTGCTAACACCGACTGTCGGGAAGAGTGGCACAAACTGAAGCTATCTGATATGCGACGATCCACTTTTACATGTAATATCGGCGCGGTGCTGCCTCGCTTCGCTCCGTAACAGAAGCCGCTCCCAAATAAACGTTTTTATGTGTGATCAAAAGCTCGTATCCGATAGGATTTTCGCGCCTTTGAAGAGCTATCCGTAAAGTGAAGACATAACCTTAGAAATTCCTAGACAATGTTTGGATTCTCTTTCTTATAAACATTTGCAGGAAACAGTTATTAGGTGACCTTGATGCTTTAGCAATTCATTCAGATTATGAAATGCAAAGAAATACGACCAGTAAAAACTCCTCTTCTCAATCACTTAAATCCTAAGTAACCTGATTCAAATAAAAGCTACAAGCTCCTGAAAAACTTTTGATCTCTTTTTTGATCGATTTTTAGTCTTCGTTTTTACTGTTGTTTTGTGTTTGATGTGGTTTAATCAGAGCATTAAATTTCAACTCAGTGAATGGAATTTTCACACGCGAACGTGCACACTAATTTCAAAGATAAAAACATTACATTATGTAATGGAATATTATAGATTCGCGCTTGGGGGCTCTAAGTAGGAAATAAATAAAGATAGTTTTACTGACATATTTCTTGTGCCTGAGCAGATCAAGGGTTGACTTACTCGTGATTTGGGCGTGGTCCCAAATCCCAGTTTTGTCCGAGCACGATCCACTCTTTCGTCTGGGCAAAAAAAAAATCCTCCAAAAAGTTGACGTTTTAAAGGCCAAATAGAGAACTGACGCGGTAAATCTAAAATAGGGGATTATGCCACTTACATGCAAAGCGCTTACCATCATGAAACCTCGCACTTGCGTTTTTATTCACGTGATATTCTCTTACAAGACAACTACTTCAGCTCACCCACCGTGCGTAAAACTAGAACAAGTTTTGCTCTGACTGGCGCTGTTTATTATATGTAACATGGCTCTAACTTTTACGTTTGTGCACGAAATCCTGAAATTTAAAAGCTCCTGAGCAGCACTTTCCTGTGGTACTGTTTATTACGCTGCGCAAGGTGGTTCTAACTTTTGAGTCTGTGGATGAAATCCTAGAGTGACTATTCAAGTGAAAGCTACTGAGCAATGCTTCCCTGTGGTACTGTTTCTTCTGCTATACGAGGTGCTTCTAACTTGTGGCTCTGTGGATGAAATCCTAGGGTGCAACTATTCAAAAGAAAGCAACCGAGCAGCATTTTTCTGCCACACTATTTATTACGCTGACTGTGCAAGGTGGATTTAACCTATATAACTTTCAAGTTTATTAAATAAAATAAAAAAAGATTCAGCTAGGTCATTTAAAAGAATCCTTTCAGCAACTTTACCTTGTATAGCCGAATCAGTTCGAGTGTTTCCGGCCTTCACACCGAACCTTTTCGTTTAATAAAAGATTTTTCTTCTTTTTTTATGTGAAACGTCCAAGGTCGGGACAAACACAAGCATATTTGGCTTGTCTGCCAAGTCAACATATCCGTTTATTTTTCTAATGTAGGAATTACATAAAAAGATGGAAGCAAATAGCGACAAGAACAGCATGTCTTACAGTGAATGAATAGATGGAACAAAAGCTACTCGATTATTCTAAAATCGGCTTATCCAAAAAATAAACATAAAAATGTCACGTTGTTGTGCAGGAAATGGCAAGGACGCACGAATATTATAAATTTAATGTCTGGACAACAGGCGTGATTTCCAAGACAAATAACTATAAATGAAGACTTCGTTTTATCAAGACAAACGGCATTACTACTATAAGGCAATGAGATCACTTCAATGGCTAGATCTCTAAAAATGATTGGAATCAGATTTTTTGAAGTCTAGCTCGCTGTGAGGATCTGCTTGCCGTTGTTGTTTATTCACTACTTTGAAACCTGTGTTACAAAAAGACGCGAGAAGAGGGGGAGGGGGGGAGAGAAAATTGAAGGAAAGCTACAAAATAATATATGATTCCCCCACTTATTCCGCTCATGGCAATAAGCTTTTACAGTAAATGTTTTTAGGCCAAAAGAGGGAACTGAGATGTCTACTCATATTCCAGGTAATCAAAAGTTTATTCAACTGAGTACAATTGCAAAATGCGTAACTTCTTACAACAAATACCAATAGCACGCGACCAATGCATTGCACTTAAATTCATAAATTCACCTATTAGTAACCAAAACTTATATTGGTGCACTTAGTTTTAAGGCAAGCTGCCGGCCCTTCAAGATTTTTAGAAAACCTTCCACATGTTTCCGTGGGGTTAAAAGTAACAGTGGCTAAATTTATTAATAGAGAAAAACCAGAATTATACGGAATTTGGTCCTCTGCTACGTTCAGGCAAACAGAACCTTGTCTTAGGTGTCCTTTGTCATCAGCTAGCTTTTATTTGTATCTTCTGTTTCGACGCCACTTGATCTCGCTTTCATGAAGCCATATGGCCTCGCTCTCATGTATCAGTGATCACGAGTCATATGACTAAAACGTGATAATGATGCTTCGGGATTTTTATAATCCCGAGCCAGCGAGCAAGCTCTCCATTTGCGAGATAACGCGACAAGTCACGCGCGACCGGGTACGCGAAAGGAGACGCGAGGGCCAGTAGACTACGAGCAGTCTCTCTTTTTTCTTGATCCATCGAGCAAAACGCGCGAGTTACGCAAATGACCACGCCGGTTACTGAAGGCGCGAGACGGGAGAGAGATTTTTTCTTCTCGGGCTGCCGCCCTCGTTTCTCGCAACTTGCGGCTTCGCCGCTCGACGCTCGCTCGCGCGTGCACTCCCCTTACT